CATAACTGAAGCCTACATATAACTTAAGCCTACACATAACTGAAGCCTACACATAACTGAAGCCTACACATAACTGAAGCCTACACATAACTGAAGCCTACACATAACTGAAGCCTACACATAACTGAAGCCTACATATAACTTAAACCTACACATAACTGAAGCCTACACATAACTTAAACCTACACATAACTGAAGCCAGTGTGTTACCAGGGTCCATGAAGGAGACAAAGAGCTGTAACTCATTCATCTCATATAAAAACTGCTGCAAAATCCAAATTCACCCAGTCACAAAGACATCCTCAAATGGCCTGGCATGAGCTGGCTGAAGATCTCTGTTCCCGTGGGTCATGTAAGTAACTGTTATTCTCTGCGTGCATTCTGGGGTCCCATTTTGGAGCTAAAAGAATAGACCCATTGCTTCCTAACAAGCGGGTCGTGAAATATGACTGATGTGTGTTTCTTGCTCAGTGGGAGTGCATCTGATGTGAGGCATAGGACCAACAGTCTGCATACAAGTAAGCCAGATCTGTAAAACAGATATGCATGCAAAACTCAAGTTCTGGATCAAGACTAAAGTCCAGAAGTGGAGAACAACCCGCACCTTCCATCAGCGTTTACAGCCAGAAAATGCGAAGGAGAAAAACAAAATTTATGTATTGCCACCTTTCCATGTCTATTGATACAGTTATATTGTGTTACAGGAATGCACCTTTCCATCTGTCTATTTGATACAGTTATATTGTGTTACAGAAATGCACTTTTCCATCTGTCTATATGATACAGTTATATTGTGTCACAGAAATGCACTTTTCCATCTGTCTATATGATACAGTTATATTGTGTTACAGGAATGCACTTTTCCATCTGTCTATATGATACAGTTATATTGTGTTACAGAAATGCACTTTTCCATCTGTCTATATGATACAGTTATATTGTGTCACAGAAATGCACTTTTCCATCTGTCTATATGATACAGTTATATTGTGTTACAGGAATGCACTTTTCCATCTGTCTATATGATACAGTTATATTGTGTTACAGAAATGCACTTTTCCATCTGTCTATATGATAGTTATATTGTGTTACAGGAATGCGCTTTTTCATCTGTCTATATGATACAGTTATATTGTGTTACAGGAATGCACTTTTCCATCTGTCTATATGATACAGTTATATTGTGTTACAGAAATGCACTTTTCCATCTGTCTATATGATAGTTATATTGTGTTACAGAAATGCACTTTTCCATCTGTCTATATGATACAGTTATATTGTGTTACAGGAATGCACTTTTCCATCTGTCTATATGATACAGTTATATTGTGTTACAGAAATGCACTTTTCCATCTGTCTATATGATACAGTTATATTGTGTTACAGAAATGCACTTTTCCATCTGTCTATATGATACAGTTATATTGTGTTACAGAAATGCACTTTTCCATCTGTCTATATGATACAGTTATATTGTGTTACAGGAATGCACTTTTCCATCTGTCTATATGATACAGTTATATTGTGTTACAGAAATGCACTTTTCCATCTGTCTATATGATAGTTATATTGTGTTACAGAAATGCACTTTTCCATCTGTCTATATGATACAGTTATATTTGTGTTACAGGAATGCACTTTTCCATCTGTCCTATATGATACAGTTTATATTGTGTTACAGAAATGCACTTTTCCATCTGTCTATATGATACAGTTATATTGTGTTACAGAAATGCACTTTTCCATCTGTCTATATGATACAGTTATATTGTGTTACAGGAATGCACTTTTTCCATCTGTCTATATGATACAGTTATATTGTGTTACAGAAATGCACTTTTCCATCTGTCTATATGATACAGTTATATTGTGTTACAGAAATGCACTTTTCCATCTGTCTATATGATACAGTTATATTGTGTTACAGAAATGCACTTTTCCATCTGTCTATATGATACAGTTATATTGTGTTACAGGAATGCACTTTTCCATCTGTCTATATGATACAGTTATATTGTGTTACAGAAATGCACTTTTCCATCTGTCTATATGATAGTTATATTGTGTTACAGAAATGCACTTTTCCATCTGTCTATATGATACAGTTATATTGTGTTACAGGAATGCACTTTTCCATCTGTCTATATGATGCAGTTATATTGTGTTACAGAAATGCACTTTTCCATCTGTCTATATGATACAGTTATATTGTGTTACAGAAATGCACTTTTCCATCTGTCTATATGATACAGTTATATTGTGTCACAGAAATGCACTTTTCCATCTGTCTATATGATACAGTTATATTGTGTTACAGGAATGCACTTTTCCATCTGTCTATATGATACAGTTATATTGTGTTACAGGAATGCACTTTTCCATCTGTCTATATGATACAGTTATAGTGTGTTACAGGAATGCACTGGAATCACAGCCCAAGGTGGTGGCGAGTGCGACTTGCAGGACCTGCTTGTGTTAAGTCTTCCACAGTTAGAGCATGGAACTTAAGAACCATTGTTGCGACTATGCGTATTCAACACCTGTCTCCTCGGACGCACGGCCCTCAACCTATCTGCAATCACTGTCTCCTTTATCATTATCTTCCTGACACCCCCCCCCCCCCCCCCCCCATGCAACAGACCAATGTATCCTGTCCCCACGAATCCACCTCAATACCCGTATCATTCACGTGCCATTTGCGCACACCTTCAAATTGCAAGCGAGGCTTACCTCGACATCATCTGTCCATCTGTAATAATATTCTGTATAACAACCACAGAAATGAAATATGGGTAGCGAGAAGTATACATATTTATAACATTAACCAAAAAATATGGGTAGCGAGAAGTATACATATATAGAACATTAACCAAAAAATATGGGTAGCGAGAAGTATACATATATAGAAAATTAACCAAAAAATGATTAAAATATTGAGAATATCAACATACATTACTTACTGAAGATAAGAATCAACACAGTAAACTTAAGTTACAAGAACACATTAAAAACGTTATAAAGTAAATCTTTTCGGCACATGCAAATATACAAACAATTTTTTTAAAGAATACAAAAGTAAAAGTAAACTGGACACTGAGTACAGGAAAACACAGGAACAAATATTACAGTTTAAAAACTACTTGGCAAAAAAAAATTTTTTTTAATTGTTTTCACACATACACACACACAAAAGCAAAACTATCTTGTGCAACAAGATCAATATTTCAGATACATTTAGAATGTTTTAAAATAATTCTATGAGATTTTTTACAGAAAATTCAGCAGCCAATCAATCAACTGGCTATCAGTTGTAACAAACACTTAAACAAAAACCTTAACTAGTGGCTCACAGGCCTAATCAATCCGCTATCAGTTGTAACATAAACTAAATTCTTAAATCTTTGAGTCCCAGGGGGTTAGCTTCACAGGCCCAGGGATAGTAAAGAAAGTAATAAAATCTGCGCATCATGCGTTCATTGGGCTTCTAGGTAGGAACCTATGAACGTATGATGCGTTCCTTGAGACTCAAAGAGTTAACCACCGGCTCCTAGATCCAATCAATCGACTTTCAGCTGTAACAAACACTTAAACTAAATTCTCAACCACTGGCTCCTGGGTCCAATCAATCGACTATCAGCTGTAACAAACACTTAAACTAAATTCTCAACCACCAGCTCCTGGGTCCAATTAAGAATGCAAGTTGTGCTACATCAACCAAGATAAATTGCCAAAATAGACACATTTTTTAGTTGAAATTCTAAAACGAATAAAAAAAAAAGATCATAATTTGCACTAAGATCAGTTGTGTAAACTAAGACTGGGTTAACAAATCAGCAGGTAATGATTGGCACTTATGCATGGGGCAGAGGATATCAAGGATATCAAAGATCAGGGAAACAGGTGAAGATCACATATATGAATTTCACCGTCAAGGATATCTACTAGTGTCTGTCTATGTATCTTTTAACATCTTGTCTGTGTCCTTGATTTATCTTCTCTTGTCTATGTGTTGCTGACCACCTACTCTTGGCTGTCTGTGTGTCACAGAATGTTCATCTACTCTTCTCTGTAAATATATTCTTGAGTATCTACTTTGTCCAGCATCCCTAGTATCTACTTAGTCCAGCATCCCTAGTATCTACTTTGCCCAGCATCCCTAGTATATACTTTGTCCAGCATCCCTAGTATCAACTTAGTCCAGCATCCCTAGTATCTACTTTGTCCAGCATCCCTAGTATCTACTTAGTCTAGCATCCCTAGTATCTACTTAGTCCAGCATCCCTAGTATCTACTTTGTCCAGCATCCCTAGTATCAACTTAGTCCAGCATCCCTAGTATCTACTTATTTCAGCATCCCTAGTATCTACTTTGTCCAGCATCCCTAGTATCTACTTTGTCCAGCATCCCTAGTATCTACTTTGTCCAGCATCCCTAGTATCTACTTTATCCAGCATCCCTAGTATCTACTTTATCCAGCATTCCAGGTTTTTACTTTATTCAGCATCCCAGGTATCTACTTTGTGTGTCCAACTTTCTGTTTGTCCAGGGTCCTTAAATGTCTACTTTCTATTTTCCCATGATCCCTGAATACCTACTTTCTGTTAGTCTAGGGTTTTCGAATGTCTACTGTAGTGTCCTTAAATATCTACTCTTTTCTATGTTTCCTTGAATATCTACTTCTTTCTGTCAATGAGTTTTCTAGTGCTCTGAATACCTATTTCTGTTTAGCATCTGTCTATGTAAATTGTCTTCTTATGGTTTATCTAGCATCTTTGAAGATCTACCAATTTATTTGTTTATGAGCATCAATCAATACCAACTAATATATTACACAAATATATTGATGTCTCATGTGCTTCTTAACATTCATCATTTATTTATGTAATAACACTGTAGTCTATTATTTAAACAGTTTATGAGTATATGACATACATATATTAATCAGCATTCCATTGGTTAAGGGAATGAATTTGAAAACTCAACACCCACAAAGGATAAGCTTAGACTTCCTGGTCCACAAACAGGGTGTAGGGTGTTGTCCAGATGGTCAGACGATTCTGCATGTTTCGCAGGAGTTCCACAGCCTGCACAGCCTCAGCAGCGCTAACAAACAAGACCAGGAACGAGAAGCAGCAACCGACAATGGCCATGTAAAATGCGTAGCCTAGAGTAGAACAGTCCGCTGGCAGTATGGGGCTTGTGACGCCAAAAAACTTCTTGGCGTTTAGGTCAAAGAAGGTTACTGCATAAATACCTGCCGCCACTGACAGAAGATCAAGAAAACAAAGAGTTAAGAATGTCAAACACAAACTAAAAAGAGAGGAAAAGAACAATAAAGGTCTTTTCACAAACAAAATAATAAAAAGTTCTTCTAAGCTTTTACCGGCTGTAAACTCCGGTGAAAAGTTCTGGTTGTTCATCCACTTCTGAACTTTAGTCTTGTCCCAGAACCCGAATTTTATATACACATCGATTTTTACTGTTTTGGTTTATTTGTGTGCAGACTATTGGTTCCTCATCCCTCAGATGCACTTCTAAATTCAGAGAAAAAACCCATAATTTGTAACCCTTTACAACATGTTTATTAGTGAGGCAGTTGGTGGACCCCCCCCCCCCTTTTCCCCCACTATGTAAGCGTAATCTGTTAGCTGTAAACAAGTTTAGAATCGGTGTGACGTCTAAAGTTATCATTAACCATCTTGACATCTATCATTAGTCAAGTTCATATCTAAAGTTATCATTAGTCATCTCAACATCTAAAGCTATCATTAGTTGTTTTGACCTCTAAAGTTATTAGCCATCTTGAGCCATCTAAACTTATAAATAGTCAACCTGACATGTATAATTTTCATTAGAGTCAAGTTGATCCCTCCAGTTACCATTAGAGTTAGCTTGATCTCTAGAGTTAACATAAGAGTCAACTTGATCTCTAGTTACCATTAGAGTCAACTTGATCTCTCTAGTTACCATTAGAGTTAGCATGATCTCTGAAGTTAACATTAGAGTCAACATGATCTCCTAAGTTAACATAAATCATTTGTATCTCCCTTATAGAAGATCTAAGCTGATCTAGAGATGAACTTACATGTAAGAAAGTTGAGCAATGTCAGAAATCGGAAGCTTCCCTTGTAGTCGAGGAAACGGACCAGGTAAAGGATGTACGTAACCAAGGACACCAGCATCCCCACACAGTGCAGCAGGTACATCGTCTGTACAGATCTGAACCAGGCTGTTGAGGAAACAATTCACTGCTAGAGTTATCTCATATAATTCATTAACTAATTCACAGCTGAGTGGTTGGCCTTGTGTTACCTAACACAATCCATGTATTAACTCCCAGCTGAGTGGTTTGCCTTGTGTTACCTAACACAATCCATGTATTAACTCCCAGCTGAGTGGTTTGCCTTGTGTTACCTAACACAATCCATGTTTTAATTCCCAGCTGAGTGGTTTGCCTTGTGTTACCTAACACAATCCATGTATTAACTCCCAGCTGAGTGGTTTGCCTTGTGTTACCTAACACAATCCATGTATTAACTCCCAGCTGAGTGGTTTGCCTTGTGTTACCTAACACAATCCATGCATTAATTCACAGCTGAGTGGTTTGCCTTGTGTTACCTAACACAATCCATGTATTAATTCCCAGTTGAATGGCATGCATCACATGACAAGACTAAAATTAAGAGTACAGTCAGTCAGTTAGTAGCATGTCCTTTGCAAAACCTTCTTCCATAACAACCTTCCAGAAAACGTCTCGATCACAAGCAAGATGTCCCGCGTCCGAGAAACCCATCTGGAGATTATCCGCCAGATACTGCACCCATCTTTTCTTCGGCCTTCCTCTTCCTGTCTTTCCAGGCATATACCCTTCCATTATTGTTCACTCTAAACTTTCATGACTTTTCAAGTGACCAAAATATTTTAATTTTCTGTGTTTCATAGTCTTTAAAAGCCAGCCTTCTTCAATATTACATTCTTGAAGTATGGATGCATTTGTTCTTTTTTTTTTTAAACCAATGATATTCTTAGAACCCGTCTATAAAATTTGTATTTAAAGGCATTTATGCACTGTTCAGCTTGTTTAGTAAATGTCCAGGTCTCACAGGTGTTTGTTGCAATGGGAATGATGTATGCTCTAAGAAATCTAATTTTTGTAGTTCCGTCTGCCCCACTCCATAATTAATTCAGTTGTTTTAGTCTCTGAAGAGCAACTGATAGTTGTTGTTTAATTGTTTTCACTGTGTCACCATTGTTAGTAATCTATAAACCAAGATGTTCACAATTTTTCACAACCACCAATCTTTCCTCATTAACATATATTTCTTTCTCCACATTAGTTTTATCTGTATGCATTCTTTGTTTTTGCTATCTTAAGATTTAAGATGTGATTTTTTGCTATTTATTTGGGTTGAGGTTATTAAGTTGTCTAAACCAGTCTGTGACGTGGATAGCAATACTGTATATATTATCAGCATATCGGATCTCTGGTATTTCATGACCACCGATATTTAGGACATCATATTGCTCTCTGTTTATATCATCTCTGACATTGTCCATTATATTTTTGGTGAACAGGTTAAACAAAGAGTACAGTCACACTTTGATTAAACATCACCACCTGGACAAGGGCTCCTGGGGAAGGCAAGGCAACATGTGGGAATGTCACATATGCACTGATGTCAATTATTTTTTTTTTTCAAAACTTTACCTTTGGGATAGAGAGAGCATTATTCTTGTTTTATTTGTGTATAACTGTGCACACATGCTGTCCTGATTTTGTGAGAAAGCAAGGCTTTACTGAAAATTAAAACCCTGAACTTCCACAAAGACATGCTCAATCTGATACTTAATTTATAACTTACCCCTGACGTCACGACAACGTCGCGGGAGACATTCCCAATAAATTCTAGGGTGTTCAGGTTGTAGTTTCTCGCGATTTATCTACAGCCAAGTTTAGGGTTAGGGTTAGCTTTATAAGACACTAGATGAACACTCAAAAAAAGCACCACACAACAGCACACTTCCACCCCCTTGAAATATTGACTGTCAGGTCAGCTGTGGATTTCCCACGAGGATTTCGTGTTTGGGGTACGTTATAAATTAAGAACCCTCAATCTTTTTTCTCAACAATAGAATGGTAATCAAATACTTAATCAATTATGAATCCAGTTCTTAACAAAGGAATTACATCGATATGGGCCTTTCCTTCTTTCTCTTCCCCTTATCTTCCATGGCAGTAAGACTCTGGAAACAAAACACAAACAAATCCACTAACTCCCCTCCCCCCTTTCTTTTGTCATCTCCTGTAACCCCTTTCTTGTCCTCCTCACAATATTTAATATCCTTGGTTCCACTGTTGGGAAAACAAGAACAAACGCACTGCCTTCTCACCAAGGATGTCATAGGAATCAACTAACTGAGGGCTTCCTTTCAAGTCAGAGTATATCCACCTGGGTGGCAAGGAACAATTGAGGGCTTCCTTTCAAGTCAGAGTATATCCACCTGGGCGGCAAGAAACAACTGAGGGCTTCCTTCCAAGTCAGAGTATTTCCACCTGGGCAACAAGGAACAACTAACTGGGGGCTTCCTTCAAAGTCAGAGTACATCTACCTGGGCGGCAAGGAACAACTAACTGAGGGCTTCCTTCCAAGTCAGAGTATACCCACCTGGGCGGCAAGGAACAACTAAGTTAGGGCTTCCTTCCAAGTCAGAGTACATCTACCTGGGTGACAAGGAACAACTAACTGGGGGCTTCCTTCAAAGTCAGAGTACATTCACCTGGGCAGCAAGGAACAACTAACTGGGGGCTTCCTTCAAAGTCAGAGTATACCCACCTGGGCGGCAAGGAACAACTAACTGAGGGCTTCCTTCCAAGTCAGAGTATACCCACCTGGGCGGCAAGGAACAACTAACTGAGGGCTTCCTTCCAAGTCAGAGTACATCTACCTGGGTGGAAAGGAACAACTGAGGGCTTCCTTCCAAGTCAGAGTATACCCACCTGGGCGGCAAGAAACAACTAACTGAGGGCTTCCTTCCAAGTCAGAGTATACCCACCTTTGCGGCAAGGAACAACTAAGGGAGGGCTTCCTTCCAAGTCAGAGTACATCTACCTGGGTGGCAAGGAACAACTAACTGGGGGCTTCCTTCCAAGTCAGAGTATATCTACCTGGGTGGCAAGGAACAACTAACTGCATAAAAATAAGCCAGTAAAACAGATGTACATGTAAAACTTAAAAGTCCAAATGGATAAACAACCATGACCTTCCGCTGGAGCTTAAGGACGGTGAACAAAGAAGAAGAAGAACCTTTAAGAACTGAAATAACATTGGAACTGTAACAAACAACGTAAACTGGTTTTAAAACTAAATAATTTATTTGAACATGGCATACACAAACAATTATTATAACAACTATTCACAATTCTACTGTTTGTGCCTTCTTCTTTGTTAAAATAAATTATTTAGTTTTAAAATCATTGGGGGGGGGGGGGGAAAGAGGGGAACACAAAATATAATTTATGTTGAGTTTCAGTTCTAATGGCCCAATGCTATGTGTATGTGACTATTTCAATTCTAATAATAATATTGTTATAGTTATTTTAATTTTAACACAAGCTAGGATAGTCCGTCATAGCTAAAGTTGCATTTACTAAAGTGACATTTAGAGTTCCATATTTTGTTAGGTGCTTGAAAGCTGCTGTTGTCTTGCAGCTTTCCAACACCATACTTCCAACTTTTATTAAATGTTTTGGTGTGTTTGTTGGTAACCTTTTTTTCTTTGTGTGTTCCCAGTTAAAAAGAAATCGGGTTTGTTTTCCCTGCCATGACAAGATGACATCTGCTTGCTCTGTTGCCGACTTCTTGAACATTTGTAAGCCCTTATAACTGATCTGTTATATCATACAGCCATAACAGACAACAATGAGAAACACTCAATCAAGTCAATCCATGTCAATAATAATAATTGTAATGTTTCGCTAGAGTGATAATGCTTCGCTTCATCACAATAATAAATAACTATTTAACTATAACAAAGCGCCTACCCGAGTAATCGGCCTCCACTATGGAGCTGAGATGTTCCATGTCCCCACAATACGACGTGACAACATCGCAGTGTCTCATTAGTCCAATATCATTCTGAAAATACGGAGCCCGAACTCTGAACCACTGGGAACTGCCTAGGCCGAAGACCACACAAAATAAGCCAAACATAGAGGACACCAGTCCAGCGACTAAAGTAACGCTCGCCATCTTTGACTATGACGACATAGACATCATTTCCGGTTGGCCCAGGGACCATCGCCCTATTTAACCTTTGGGGGCGACGGGGTACATATTTCCACACATATTTCCATCATCTATAGTAGAAAATGTACCCCGTGTGGTTTCCGGGCCCTATTATAGGGAAAACAAAAACAGACCCACTGCCTACCCAAAAGCATGTCGTAAGAATGCATCTGCCTGAGAGGCAAGGAACCAACAGTCTACACACTGATGTGCCAGATCTGTCGAACGGATTCACATGCAACACTCAGGTTCTGGAACAGAACTGCAGTCCAGAAGTGGACGAACAACCAGAACTTTTCACCAGAGTTTACTGATGAACGCAAAGAAGAAGAAGTAGAAAATTGTTCACACCAACAGACATAAACAACACAATTAAAGTGAGAAATATCAAACGATATGCATACTTCGTGCTACTGTAGCCACATAGACAAGACATCACTTCCTGACACAGGGACACTCGCCTTATTTAACCTTGGGAGCCATAGAGGATGGGGATACATATTTCCATAGTCTTTAGTAGAAAATAATTTACATCCACAGACACAAACAACACATTTAGAGTGAAAAATGTCAAACGTTATGTATACTTCATATTACCATTACTACATGGCTGTGAATCATGGACAATCGGTAGGCAGGCCAAACAATTTCTTGATGCCTCAGAGATAAGGTTTTACAGAATAATGCTTAGAATACCTTGGACAGCCAAAAAGAGCAACCGAGAGGTTTTGAAAGAGGCGGGAGTCCGAAGACAACTTTTTACAGACATCAGAAGGAGACAGTCATCATTTTTCTGTCATGTTTTGAGAATAGGGAAAATAGAACATGTTGTGACCACTGGAAAGATCGGTGGAAGGAGAGATAGAGGGAGACAACAAGAAAAGATTCTTGACAGTCTTGTTGCATGGCATGGAGAGGTATCGGCACACGAACTGATATATGCTGCAGGAGATCGTGGATCGTGGAGAGGCATTATCGCCCACGCCAGTCGGCAAGTCACCTGATGATGATGATGATTATGATGTATACCTCATGCTTCTCTAACGACACCATCATAATTAGCAAGTATCTAGCCCCTCTCCATAATCTGCGATCTTCAACAGAATGTATCAGTTCGTGTGCTGACACCTGTCCATGATATGACAAAAGGTTGTCAAGAATTATCTCGCGCTGTCCTCATCTGTCTCCCCCCACCCCCACAGACTTTTTCATTGGTCACAATATATTCCAGTTTCCATCTTCTCATGATATGAACAAACACATTATGGCAAAGACAGGACAAACTTTCCCGGCGAAAGACCACAACCTTATTTAACCTTGAGGTCACAGACAATTTGGATAATCCCACCCAGACATCTACATCCCACGCCAACAGTAAACTTACTTTGTGGGCATGCGGGCGCCAAAAAATAACAGTGCACCTGGCATTTGCTTCAGTCTGATTATTGTCGTTAATTTATTATTACTATGGATTGCTTCTTCTTCTTCTTTTTAGCATTCATCAGTTGAAAACTCAAAGTTCAGGTTGTTCGTCCGCTTCTGGACTTTGCTCTTGTCCCAGAACTAGAGTTTTGAGTGCAGATCCGTTGTGTAGATCTAGTCTATTTGTGTGCAGATCCGTTGTGTAGATCTAGTCTATTTGTGTGCAGATCCGTTGTGTAGATCTAGTCTATTTGTGTACAGATCCGTTGTGTAGATCTAGTCTATTTGTGTGCAGATCCGTTGTGTAGATCTAGTCTATTTGTGTGCAGATTGTTCGCTCCTCGCCTCTCCGTCTTCGAAGGAACCCCCCATGGATATTTCCATGAACGTTAGAAAATTATCTACACCCGCAACATAAACGTCACATTTAAAGCGAGACGTATAAAACGTTAATGGTAGTTAACAACACACTGGTCTAGCCATAAATGCCCAATGTGCCAGTATGCCTAATGGTGCTATGACAAACACAGTTAACAAAAAAAATGAAGTACCCGTTCCCATGCCTTCAGACGTCCTGGGCATATAGGGCTCGACCTATATCTAAATAGAAATCAGCACTCGTTGTGTGATGTGTCAAGCGTTTACTGTCTAGGGCTTTAGCTTATACACATTAAAGGTTGTGGCCACCTGGAAGCCAGGGTCATTTTTGAAGAAAACATCCGCCTCCATTCGGATTTGAACGCATGGTCTTCTGATCCGCTAGCGGGTGACTAGACTCCAGACGCTACACCACGGCGGTTGCTAAAACGACACAGAGAGGAGAGGTCATCACTTCCTGGGGCAGGAACATCACTCTATTTTTAACCTTCAGTCTTGAGGCTATGGCAATGGTTCAACATATTACTGATTCACTTGACACTCAGAGGAGAGGCAAGGCGAACATACAACCAGACTGCTAGTGTCATCATGGGAACCGGAACACTGCGTTGGCTGCCATGACGGAGTACCTATATGAATGTGCCGAGCGCTGTGATGGTTCACTTTTACAACAACGTGAACCGGGAAGTGACTATTCTAGCTGGTGACGAGAAGTGCTAAATAGCATAAAAGTGGCTAGAAAGCAACAAATGAACAAACTCATGTGTAATTGCTCACCACAAAGGAAGATAAACAAAATAAGTTAGCAAAGGAACCGTCCTTGATAAAGCAGGCCATCAGGCGGCTAAAAAAGGACTAAGCTTGGAATTTTTGTTTGATTTTATACGATACGATACTAGAAAGCTCAAGGTACGCAGAACATATGGGGGTTGCCCCGAGTGCTGTGATTTTGATTCTTAATTCAAAATTCAGTCTATAACAGCGGAAAACTAATCACAGCATAAACTGTGATAGCATAGTTACTGTTTTAAAATCTTGCCGGTGATCAAACTAGTCACTTCTCGCGAGAAAATTATTCCAGTCAATTTTTGTGCATTCTCAATCCTAGATATTAAACACCAGCTATTGTATGTGACTTTTTGAAAATCTTTTAATATGTTTGTATTTCTCCCCAACTTTTATTTCTTAATTATTTGATTTTGTAATGTAACCCGCCATGTCCATACCCCCCCCCCCCCCCCCACGTATTTTTGGTTTCATGTTTACCTTGGCTGTTGAGATGCTCTGTTGTCTTGTCCATTGAGTTTTCCGATCATGGTCTGTGTTCTGTTTGTACTTTTTGCATGCTCCCTTGTGGAGTTCTTCTCATTAGTATAGTACTCCGTATAGTACTTCGGTTGCATTTGTGCGCCTCTTTTCCACTCCCTCTACTCACGAGCAGCAACTACCGCATCTCCTTCAGCTTCCTTCATTTTATTTGCTTGTGAGTTCCAGCCATCTAGTTTAGCCGCTACTCGCGAAGCAGGAGATACTCTCGGCGGTGGCGGTATAGTCGACGGAAAGAAGTCCGCAATTTACATGTGACTGAGACCCTGTTAGGGTATATTTTTGGCCTCGATAATTTGGGACCGTTATTCGGAGGAAAGCCAAAAAATCTAACAGATGATTCAAACCCAGGTCTCCTGCATGCGAGCCCTGCGTTTTGATCTGTTCGGCCAGCCGTTCTCTTGCTGTTATGTATCAGTACTAACGACAATGGCAGGTACAGTACCAGTTAATGATTTTACTGAACTTCAAAGTATGAAATGGTTTGGTCAGCGGATCAGAACAAAATCAGCCACCAGCTAAAGCGGATGACACATAAACTTCAGGCTACAAGCCAAGGGGGCAATGGGTATGGGGAGTAAAAGAGACACTACTGCAACACAATATCACATCAACACGAGCTACTTCTTTTTCTTTTCTTCCACCTTTTACCTCATCGAAATGTCGGGGGGAGATGTAATGTTCGTTGACGAGCTCTGTCAAGAGCACTATTAAGACTGATGTTCATTTCTGTAAGGCTGTTCTTAATGCCATCACTTTTTCCGAGGTCTTCTACTCGATCTATACCCATTGTAAAGTTTTAGTGTGGCTCGCTGTGGCAGATAGTACCAGGGCATGAGCTACACAACAAACAAACATAGAAAACTGCATCAAACTCCTCCATGTAATGGTTTATGTTTTTTTTTAAATAGACCAATAGGCACTCGGTGGGGGATGTGGTCAACATCAGGTCGGCTGCCTTTACTTCCCATGACATTACCTCGTACCCATTTTACGCTGGGTTGAACTCGAAGCCAAAACCAAATTTAATTAAAAAAATTACACCATAGAAGCTACAGTACAAGCACATCTGCACCCGGTTTATACAAAATTTATTTTTTTGATTTGATGCTAAATCCTCATTTAGGTTCATGTTCGATATAGCAGCTTTATCGAATATAATCCTAAACAATTAGAAAAAATTAGTTGTACTTCATAGAAATGAGATCAAATACTAACTACCACGTAAAACTACAGTGGATGAGGAAGTCCACTGCAGCAAAAATCTAACATGCAAAAGAAGCAAAGTACTCATTTTGTGGTGTAGGTCTGCAGGCTGCCTACTGTTGGCTACAAAAGAGATATCCCATGATGTACGAGATGTTCAATATATGGAAGTGAGGTTTAACAGTCATGAGCAGGACGTGACGATTCCTTGGGTGAGCCCAGTACCAGAGCACCATGTATTAGCTCTGCATTTGTGGAAGCCTCCTTGGACGGCGGGGAAGGCTCATGTTCTGCCCCTGCCTTCTTTTGAGGGCTGATCAGCATTATTTGGCCTCTCTGGACCAGCCTGATTGGAGCACCACCTGTGACTTGAGAAATAAAGATGACTACACAACAATGAGAAGAAGTCGGATGTGTTGGCCAAAAGGTACAAATATCGCAGCCATGCTGTAAACGGACACAACGCACTTACATCTTTGGATGAACGCAGAAGAAGAATTACTAACTTTCTGAAGAGTCTATGAAAGAAAAGTGAGATGCCGATAGACATGAAATTGTTTGGGCACGATATAGCATGCATGGCTTATAAAATAAAATGTGAAAGGAAATATACTAAACGTGAAAATTGAAGGTAGGCTGACAAGAGGCAGAAAGCGATGCAAGAAGAGGATAACATCAAAAATATTTTCTTATGTGGGTCCTGGGACCCCATTTGGGGTGGAGGGTGCATCCATTAACAAGCTTGTCGTAAAAGGCAACTAAGGCTTTGCTGAAATTGAATGTACTGGGCCGAGAGGCGCATATACATGTAAACCAGAACACAGTATGTCAACCGCTCCTTCAAGGCTGAATGGAGAAGAAGACAAAAACAAGAGCGTTCTAGTTGCCGGTTGCCCTGTATTCTAACGCATGCAGATTTCCCAGTGCAAGACATGTTAGTTATATTACTATCAGTCTGTAATTCATGCCTGTTAATTGTTGTTTTACCATCTACACTGTCTTCTCTCATCATGTCTTATGAGATGACCTCATTATTGTTCTGTCTATAAAAAGCAACTGATCAGTAATTTGTTTTCACAGTAGAGGTGAGGTCACTGCACGTTGGGAATTCATGTGAGTGCTCAGTCTTGCCATGCAGAAACCAGTCCAGAGAGCTGTATTAACAAGATGCATTGCAAGAAGTTGCAAAATATTTTGTAACACTTTGACAAGGACAGCAGATGGAAAAGGAGACGTGGACGACCTAAGGAAAAATGAGGTCAGTAGAAAGAAACGTAAACTGGCAAGGGAGACCATGGACAGAAAAGCAGTAGATCTGCAGCAATAGAGATTACATGTGAATGCCTTATGTGTCAACAGTGATGTGATGATTTATAGATTGATAATTGATTATATTATTTACAAAGCAACGAACAAAGCATCACTATATGAATATGAAACTTTATTATGTATAACATACATGTCATATTGGAAAAAAATTTAATTTGTGTTATAATTTGAAATGATGGAATGTCAGTTAGCAGGGTCTTCATCTTGTGTCATCAAGGTATTAACATAACAAGCACAGAGCAAATCTTCACCCAGTTTACACACAATTTATTCTTTTGATTTCATGCTAAATCTTCATGTACCCAGATATTACTAAGTTAACTTTCAGACTATGTAACAAAAATGTTTTAACGTTAAAATTTGTTCAGTAGTAATCACAGAACGATTTGACAATTTTAAACTACATTCACCTGATCATATATTTCTAACAGTAACACCATATGACAAGAATGGTTAAAGTAATCACAGGTGTAGAGTTAGCTGGTGTAACAACCGGCTGGAACATAAGGTGTTCCAGAAATTGAAGCATTTGAGGAACTACTGGCATGGTGGATGGATAAGGACTGAAAGAGTTAATAACAATTCATGCACTAAACTACATAAAACTTAAAGCAAACACTGTCAAGGCCACTTGATGTGTCTGTTTTGTAGATGTCCCATATGCTGCATTACAAATGGCAAGCTGGGTGAGTAGATAACCATGTTCAGTCGTACAACAGTCACTCCAAGGGTTATGAAGTAACCTGCAGTCCAGTTGGGAGCGGCATATTTTACATGAGGAAGCAAAATTATATGGTATATTTACAGGATGCTTGGCCAGGTAACACTCTGGAATAGGCTGAGAATATGCTAAAAGGATAAAAAATAATAAATGAATAGCTAGAAAGTGTTCAAGAATTGTATAATGTTTTAGTCACCACCTTACATTTTTTAACCGAGGAAATATGAAATTATTTAAAATTAAATATGCTGCTGTATTCATAAACCTAGGTGGCCTATCTATACAGATGGCCCTGTGTTGAGGGGCAGACCAAGTGCATAGGGGTCTATAGCAAAGGCGAATGAAGGTCAGTGCAACAAAGCCTGGCATATGATATCACGTCTAGTTTGAGAATGGAGGTGGAGGCAGTCACTGCTGTCTTTTGCTGGCTTGAGAATCAGCTGTACACACATGCCATGATGGTAACTGACTCGCACAGCATGTTGAGAAAAGTAGAGACGGGCATGCTCCATGCAGAGTGGCAAGCATCACTTCAGAGGTCCCGGGTAGTTAGCATCCTTTGGGTATTTTCTCCAGGTCATGTTGGGAAATGAGCAAGCAGATAAGACTGACCAGTTCTACACCACTTGGTGGTGAACTGATGTATGACAAGCTAAATGTTGTGAGGGCTCTTTAGGAATTATTGAACAGTGGGGAGGTACAGACAGATCATTTTGGTCTGGGGAGAATGGCGCTGCAAGGAGTTACAAGGGGATCTGGCCCGTGCTCAACACTCAGGGGAAGGGCGCGACAGATATACAATCAGACAGTTACTGGCGCCATTGGAGTTGGAGCGCTTTGCTTACTGCTGAAGATGGGAACAGAGCGCTTATGGGGGTGTCCCGAGTGCTGTGATGTCGATACTTAATTCAACAAGTTGGCCTGGCTTTCCTAGTCCCATTCCCCATAGCTATGGGCTGTCACAGACTTGCCTCCCTGCAGCACCATTCAACACTAACATCAGGACAGGTGGAAAGGTGTTGGAAAAAAATCATAAATTTATGAAAACTGAAATTCCAAATCAGTGAGCAATTTCATCTCATCTATGTCTGCAAATTTATTTATATAGACATTATTCAGATTGAAAAGAAAAAATTAAGCAGAAGTGCTTTAGTTAATTCACTATTTACAGTTAATAAAACATGTTAACAATATCTATTAGTAGCACACACAAAAACAAACACTTTTTATATTAAGGCAATTATGTTTTGGAATGTTTATTATGTTTTGGAATGTTAATTATACTTTCAAACTGAAACATTTGGAATCTAGTTTGGCATACAAGATTGGAACATCTCAATCCAGGTATATTAAGATACATTTCACAAGAATTATGAATCAGAAAAGATTGTTGCTGTATAAATGTGTTCACCAAAACTGATATAAATTGAAAGATGTAGCTTTAAAAAATAAATACTGAACATGAAGACTTATAAAACTTCCTGAATGTTACAAATAATGTTTTTCCACTCAAAAATTTTTTTTTTAATGTAGCAAGACACCCCTGTCTGTATACACAAGGGAGATAAATGGTCGTAGACTATGAGGCAGACCAAGAAGAATATGGAGAGATAATGTCCAGACAGACCTGCAAACACTTGGTTTCACCAACTGGAAAGAGAAGGCCAACCAGAGAGATGAATGGAGGCGGGTGATATCTGCAGCAATGATCCTCAAGGGCTTGGAATGCTAAAGGAGAAGAAGCAAGACACCCCCCTCTCCCCGAGAATATTGAGTTCATTAAGAATATAAAGTGAAATTTACATCAATAACTTTCTAATAAGTCATTAAGCACACATGGTCAGAAAAAAAAAAACCTGGAGTAACACTGGCCCATGTGTCTAGAGATCGATTTCTCTCGATACAATTGGACCACTTGAACCGCTGACTGTTGATGGAGGACCATGCTTTTCATTATATCTGGGCGGTTCTTCGTATGAAGAGAAAGAAACTGGTGGGACATATCCTCCGCGTGAATCTGAAGACAGCACTACACCACCATATGGGGCACCAGATACAACTGGCTGCATACCATATGTGTTCGGACCCTGACGTAATGGTGCCTGGTAGGTAAACTTCTTGCCAACCTGCAACAGCAAACAAAAACATTGATTTATGAATAATCTTTACAATCTTCCAATGTATTCTTTTTCTTTTTTTGTCTTACTGCTTATGCCATAAAACAGCGCAGAGAGGAGTTTGAGGTTGTGTCCTGTTTGACTTTCTCCTCTTCTTATCTTGAACTTATGCGTTTGAACACTCCTCTGAACGACTTCCTGGGCCTGTCCTAGAATCACTTCTACTGCAACAACTATTAAACAGTAACACTTGTAAGATATCCCAAAATCAGTTTCAATAAATGTTTATACTTCTAAGTCTAAGGCAATAATTTTCACATCAACTCTAGAGGGGAAAGTAAGCCATCCTCTTGAACCTGGTGAATGGAAACTCCAACCAACAAAAGAGAAGAGTACCCAGAATGCCACTTGACAGAGCACACAAACAAATATGAAATACAAAGGCTATTAATATAGCAGGTTTGCGGGTAAAATAAAATGAATCAATCTAATAACTTACATAAGGATCTATGTCATTTTCAAATGGGTCTCTTGCTTGTCGCAGCTGCTGATATCGAATAGTCCCCAGAGTGTTCACAGTTTTGAAAGTTTCAATCCAGAAAAATACAGCAGCAACTAAAAAAAAAATTAATATAAAATACAAATAAAAAAAACAAACAGATTATACATAATTCATTTTAGTCAATACTGAATCAGTGAGTCCGTGTGTGCCAGGATTTCCTCCCTCTAATATCCTTTCGCAGCTGACAACACCAGTAGCTGAGTTGGTCTACTGTTCTTTCTTGGCATCCTGCGTAGTGCTCTTGTCTGGTCCCACCCTTCTGATTTGCTGTTTTTGCAGTCTCCCCTCTACGTGGAACCCATAAGCTAAAAAAAAACATGGACTCTGCCTCTCAAACAGAATATATAGAAATGTAACTTCACACCGCTCCCCCTATTTTTTGTGTGTAGTTTTACATCTTTTGAAGGACATGGAAAACCACCTCAGCATTTGTGGCAGTTCGTGGCTTCAGTAGGCAATTTTTATGTTCAGTAGTTTGCAGCTACTTTCTAATCGGCAGATGTTTATACCATTATTGAAATCAACACAAAGAGGTCTAAAACCAGGTATTTTGAAATTAGGAAACCCTGTTCACTGCCTCTAAGCCACATTCAACAAATATCTACAAAAGTGAACAGCGTATGCGGAGTTTCAAAGGAAACTTCTTAATTAGTCAACTCTTAAGTGGAGGCAGGTATATCCCCCTCCCCCCCAGAAGCCACGCAGAGAGTTAGATGACCAAACGATTTTACGTGTTGCTCTTTAAATAGCTGTTGTACCAAGGCCCAGTTCTTGGGGAAGAAGAATATCCAGTGCCTCCCCAAAAAACATGTCATAATAGGCTTTCATTCAACATCAAAGTATATATGGCTGTAACTGAGACAAAGAACCCTGCAAACAAATAAGCCAGATCTGTAAAGTGGATTTGCATGCAAAACTCTAGCTCTGGACCAAGGTCAAAGTCCAGACATGGATGAATAACCAGAACTTTACGCCACGGTTCACAACTAGTGAACAATAACAAGAATAAGAATTAGCAGTATCAACGGTTTCAGGCCTAGTAATAATTATTTATTTTTAATTTTCTGTTCTCGTTACTCCAAAAGATCTCCTACGACATCTTGTCTTTGTTCTAATGGTGTTGCGCTCACTGGTTGCAGTAAGGGTCCATGTTTGACACCGGTAGCCTAGAGCTTGCCATAAAATAGTTATTAGATTTGCCTTGGTAGATAAAGGTGTCCTTCTATGTGTCAACAGTGGCGTTAGCCATCATAGTAACAGATCTGCTTTAGCACATCATATGTTGATTGATTACTCTATCCATTCTTTTTTCTGATGTAAAAACTGACATGCTTTATTTATATCAGTCGACGTCTGTGGCTTAGGCGTTGCAAATGCGCTTCGTAATGTCGGGTTCGATCCCTGCTGCAGAGGGTTTGTCTTGCGATGGTTTCGACCGTGGTACCGAGAGTTCACCGTCCAAAAAGCTATGACAAACTACTGGACGTAAATCTTCCTAGAAAAACCACAACAGCCAGAAAGTGCTTGGGTTGGTTCTGCAATGTCCTGTAATTGTTTATTTATATTCACTTGTTTACTTTATCTCAGTGTTCTAAAGCACTGCTAATGATTAAAAGAAGCTAACATGAGGCAAATCACAAGCTGTATGCATGTATGTATATATGTATGTATGTATTTATTTGTTTACTTTTGTATTTGTTCTAAATATTTCTATTTTGTATAGTGCTTTATAGATAAAATGAAATTGATAGGTTTTTGATGAACAACTGCAAGGGCTGTAAGTAAGACCGCCCAATCTGTGACCTTTTGAAAATAAAACGTGTTCATACCCAGAGTTAGAGCAGCTCCAATAATGGCAATATACCAGCCCCAAGATGGTGTCACATAAGGAGTAGTATGGGGCTCCACTCTGTACATCTGGGAGTAGATAGGCAGCATGCGCCAAGCTAGGTTGTCTCGGTAGTTGCAGCCATCACCAGCATATGGATCACAGCTGCTTGCTCCAAAGACACAACCACTCAACACTACCACCAGAATTTCAGAAGCGGCTGCAAAAATATTAGGCAAACATATTTAATAACAACAAATAAGCTTACTTCAAAGCCTAAGTTGATGAACATTATCAAAATAACCATTATATCAAACATTATCCATATATCATAACTTGTAAGAAGAAATGAGCAAGATGCCTGGACCCACCCCTCTCCCCACCTCCACCACCAGACGTTTTGGCATATAGAGCGTAGGTTATATGATTTATCATAAAATTATAACTACTTTGAATAATAAACAAAAGAAGACATAAAAAATATATATTTCTGCAATTCTCATGTAACTTAAATGTTCAAATTTAGGATGTGAAGTCTTGTACTTCTTCCACATCTCTGTTGCTCTTTCAAGAGAAGTATACCATGTAGTTATTTAGTCCTTTATAGTACTTAGTAAGGTCAAGTCAGGCTTCAGTGTGCATTTATAAGTTTTCTTCCCGCAGACAAACAACGTGCAAAGTAACCAAAGTAATAGATTCTTTCTATATATGCCAGGTTTCTTTTCTAACAAATTTTTCCAGGCCAGCTGTCCTAGGACCTGCTCTTTGCAATGTCTAACCATCATAGAATTTCTAGCATGTGCAACCCTCAATTTATCTGCCCTTATCCAAAAATGAAGGCGTGTGAACATACTATTCAAAAGATCGGAAGAACATGTGACATTTGAAATTGTATGTTTGGATCTATACCAAGTAAATTTAAAGTTTGAAGCAGAGACCACTGCCTTCTCACTACCTCCAAGATTTTGATGGCAACCATCTTTAAATGAGTGATTACGTGAGTAATTCGAGAACAAGAGGAAAAAATCAAAATCGGGTACCCCAGATTATATAATCTGCAATGATTATTCAGTGTAGCAACTTACCTGAAAGGCTGACTGACCCAGCTAGTGCGATGAGGGAACAACCTACCTGAAAGACTGACTGCTCCAGCCAAAATGATGGGAGGTCAACTTATCTGAAACGCTGACTGAGCCAGCCAGTATGACGAGAAATCAATTTACCTGAAAGGCTGACTGATTCGGCCAGTGTTATGAGAGATAAACTTACCTGAAAAAGTGACTGCTCAGCCTATATAATGAGATGTCAACTTACCTGAAAGACTGACTGCTCCAGCCAGTACGACAAGAGATCAACTTACCTGAAAGGCTGGCTGCTCCAGCCAGTAGGATGAGAGATCAACTTACCCGAAAGGCTGACTGCTCCAGCCAGTATGATGAGAGATCCTTACCTGAAAGGCTGACAAATCAAGCCAGTACGACGAGGGATCAACTTACCTAAAAGAGTGACTGCTCTAGCCAGTACCACAAGAGATCAACGTACCTGAAAGGCTGACTGCTCCAGCCAGTATGATGAGAGCTGTCGGAGATGACAATTGTCGAAACATCAGAATTAGTCCAGCAGGAAAACATGGAACCAGAATGCACGATCCGAAAACTGCGAAAAACTGTGCTGCCTGAAGAAGTTCTAGAAACAAACATGGAGATAAAACATTAATTTATTTCTGTGTTTCACAGCAATAGTTTAACTTGGTGAGCTGGAGTCCACTGATTTCAAATGACATGACATACTTACTTTGATTGACAGGCACCTTTCCAGATGATAGTGTTATATTGTGTTATGAGGAGCCATGAGACTCACAGCCCATGGCGATGGCGAGTGTGACTAGCATGACCCGCTTGTGTTAAAACAAGTCTTCCACAATTATAGCATGAGATTTTAGGACCGGTGTTGTTAACATCTGTGTTAAGTCTGTTTCTTCTCAGACACTCAACTCTCATCCTTTCTGCAATAATTTCTTCCTTCATTCTCATTCCCTTTCTTTCACACAACACGGTCCATGACATTTTGTTCTAATGAGTCCACCTCAGTAACTGTATCATTCATGTCCTGCTTGCACACATCTTTATATCATAGTAGAGGTCAGCCTCGACATCTACCCATCTTTAATTCACCATAGAGGATGTCCTTAGGGACGACATACTTTACAGTCATCATTTTATATGCTGTGACGACTGGAAAGATTTGTGAATACAGAGATTGTTGTTAATGATCCAGCGTGAGCTTTCGCCCTTTGGCCCAATGCTATGTAGTGGATTTTACATATTTTCACAAGCTATTCTTTTTCTCCATACAAGGTGTTCCACTTTTCTAGTCTCTAAGAGAGTAGCATTCTTCTAGTCTAACTGAGTTTGGGTTCAGAGATAGAGGAATAGGCAAAGAGATTTTTGACAGACATTTGTCATGGCCTGGAAGGTATCGGAACACATACTGAGACATTTGTCATGACCTGGAAGGTATCGGAACACATACTGAGACATTTGTCATGGCCTGGAAGGTATCGGAACACATACTGAGACATTTGTCATGGCCTGGAAGGTATCGGAACACATACTGAGACATTTGTCATGGCCTGGAAGGTATCGGAACACATACTGCTGCATGCTGCTGAAGTCATAAAGTGGTGAGGAGGCAAGATCTCCAATGACAGAAGACAAGGCACTTGATGCTGATGACACTTTCCCTAACTCTGTGCCACACATCCAACTAATACATTAACCCCCACAGCTCCTTTTCTCACATTAACCCCTGTTGTACACCAGGATTAGTTTAACTTCTCTAACCCGAACATTTATTAGTTATAACAACTTCTTAGAACAGAAAGAGTTAAAATATTTGCTTGGGAATCAACAATCTGCATACAAATATGTCAGATCTGTAAAACGGATGTGCGTGTAACACTCAGGTTCTGGAACAATACTAAATTCCAGAGGTGGATGAACAACCAGAACTATGCACCAGAATTAACAGCCAGTAAATGCAAAGAAGAATTCTGTCCACAGAAACAAATGCAACATATCAAGTGCTGTAACTGAAAGTGAAGCTTACTGCTCAGACAAAGCAAATAGCCTGAAATTTTCACATAATCATCTTCATGTGCAGATCTGAACTTTAGTCCCCAGATAAACATGACCACAGGACATATATTATTGAATGATAAGGAAAAGGATTGTCAGTCATTTCATAGGTGTGATAAAGGTACCGTTGTTATTTGTGTTAGTGTGCCCAGTTTCATTAACATGTAAACGCTGATGACCGTGTTCCAGTTCTCGAAGAATGTTTATTTAAGTACTCATGATAGTTGCAAAGTTAGTCTGGCTTCCACACAACGTTATCGACTACTGAGTAGTCACCCATTTTTTCTCATCGCTCACGAGCACACTAATCGCAGGTAGTCACTGGCTAAGTACATCAACAGTACGCTGGTATAGCTGATCACAAATCATCCTAGCAAAGAGCAACAAAGTCATGAGACGCTAGCGGATGCCTCTGGAGAAATAATTACGTATCATCCTGGCTACCATAACTAACTTTATAATCCCGGCTACACAAATTAACACTTGTCACAAGTATGAATAACCACTACTGTCCTCTCCACAGCTTTAAACCCAGTCCCTGCCAAGCGAAAAACAATTTCCATATTTCAGGGGTACCAAACAGACACATCCATTTACTGGACTGTCAAACTACTAACTGCTGTGTATTGCTCTACCTGTTTGTCAAGTCCACTTGTAACCCTCCCCTCACCTGTAACTGTTACCCTTATAGCCCTGTGGGTCTACACACAACCCCTCTGACCAGTAACTGACCTGTCTGCTGTTATGAGTCAGAGTCTAGTTGTTATTTGTCTTTCTTTCACAGTGTGTGGTAAAGTTGACTCATTACAATGATAATTCACAAAAAAGCAAAAATACCATATTGTATCCGCATATATGACGACCCCTATTTTTAAAGCCTAAAATTAAGAAATAAACTGTTTAATCACATTCCGTGTAAAAGCTGACCCCTAATTTTAAACTTAAAAAATGTGAGAAAACAATTTATACATAAAAATATGATAGTTTTTCCCACAAAAAATCCAGTGCTATTAATTCTTCTTCTTAGTCCATGCCATGTGACGCTAGTAATCGTGTCTATCCACAACCTTCTGTCTCCTCTGTTCTCTCGTTCTCCCTCTCCTCCAGCTTTCCTACTGTCATGATGTACTTCAGTTTTCTCCTTCTCATGACATGACCAAAGAATGTAGATTGTCTCTTTCTGATGTGGGCAATCAGTTCTCTTCGTGAGTCCGTTTCTTTCAAGACGTCTTCATTACTCTTTTTTTTTTCTGTTCAGGGTATTTCATCATTCTTCTTTAAAACCACATCTCCGCAGCTTCCAAATAAGTTTTCACTAACTTACTAAATGTCCATGATTTACTTCCATATATCAATATAGAATTTATAACGTTTTTAAGAATTCTCTTTCCCATTTCAAATGACAAAGAAAGATTGCATAAAATATTCTTACTTTTTAAAATGCTGCCTTTGCTTGAGCCATTTGACATTTAAATTCCTTAATATATTTTTCATCTGATGTTATCAGGGTACCCAAGTACTTAAACATATCAACTTGCTTGAGGTTTGTCCCATTTACTTTGATGCTGAATTTTGGAGGGTCAGCTTTCTTTGTAATTACTGTTTCTTCTGTTTTCAGAATTATGAGAAGAGAAAAACTGGAACATATGACAGCTTGAAAGAAATATGAGAAGAAAGGCAGAGGAAGACAACCAGATAAGAGCAACTGAGTATTTAGTACTGACCCACATACATACAAACATCAGCACATGAATACACATACAATATTGGAGATAATAAGATGTGAAGATGTATGATCACATATACCAGCAGACACAGCACAGGTGCAAAATTAGTGATGATGGTGTTATTGATGATGGTATTGACACAATGATGGTATTAGTGATGATGGTATTAGTGATGATGGTATTGACACAATGATGGTATTAGTGATGATGGTATTGACACAATGATGGTATTGACACAATGATGGTATTAGTGATGATGGTATTGACACAATGATGGTATTAGTGATGATGGTATTGACACAATGATGGTATTAATGATGATGGTATTGACACAATGATGGTATTAGTGATGATGGTATTGACACAATGATGGTATTGACGCAATGATGGTATTAATGATGATGGTATTGACACAATGATGGTATTAGTGATGATGGTATTGACACAATGATGGTATTAATGATGATGGTATTGACACAATGATGGTATTAGTGATGATGGTATTGACACAATGATGGTATTGACGCAATGATGGTATTAATGATGATGGTATTGACACAATGATGGTATTAGTGATGATGGTATTGACACAATGATGGTATTAATGATGATGGTATTGACACAATGATGGTATTAGTGATGATGGTATTGACACAATTATGGTATTAATGATGATGGTATTAACACAATGATGGTATTGACACAATGATGGTATTGACACAATGATGGTATTGACACAATGATGGTATTGACACAATGATGGTATTAGTGATGATGGTATTGACACAATGATGGTATTAATGATGATGGTATTGACACAATGATAGTATTGACACAATGATGGTATTAGTGATGATGGTATTGACTCAATGATGGTGATTTTAACAATGACTACTCTTCTTTTGAACCCGCCCTTATTGTGGTTTATAGCTAGGCTGCGATATGTAAGGTTTCCAGAACACATCCAACTTCAGCAAAGCTCTAATTAGTTGCCTTTTATGGCAAGCATACCTTAGACAAGGAAAAGAAAATTGAGGGATTAAGGAAACGAGGACATCCAAGAGAAACCCTAAGTGGAACATTAATGAAAGAAGACAAAGGTCCTGGACTGGATTCAATCCATAATTTTGAAGTGATTGCACAGGACTGAATGGAATGGAGCAATACAGTGTGAGCTCCGTGTGACACAAAATGGCACAATATGAGAATGAATAAATAAATGAACAAAAGAGGCCAGTGAATCAATTCATTTCCCCCTCCAAATTGGAGAATAATGAAGATAATGCTGACTGATGTTAATAATGTTGGTTAAATAAAGTTGTAAGGATTGACTTCACTGTTCAAACCAGCTCCTGAGATTATCTGCAGGGTTCTAAAGAAAAAATTGCACTCGTTAACCAAATAATATATTCATGACCTGAGCCTAAGACCTTCAGAGCACAAGGCTAATGGTTTAACTACTTCACCATGGAGACATTCAACTTTAAACTTTGATAATGTTGGTGTTGATGATAATGTTGGTGTTGATGATAATGTTGGTGTTGTTAATTATGATCAAAGTGTGACTACATACTCGGAACAGCATCTCTGCCAGTGAAAGTGTCTGTAAAAAGCAGGTTGTCAAACTCCGATGCCTTCAAGAAGAACAGCCCACTCTCAATAGAAAAATGCTCCTGTAGAGGGTTGGTACCGAAAGTGCCATCTATGCCATTGAATGCCAGTGTGAACCAGAATGGCAGAATATTGGAGATCACCACAACAATGATTGCTCCCAGCAGCAGCAAAACACTCAATGCCAGCAGTTTTGAGTCTAGGACATACCTGAATGAGTACATAAAAACATGTAACTGAAAGGAACAGAACAGAATTCATCATCATTAAAATATTTATTCACAGTGATGAAGAAATTAACATACTTGATTTTCAAAAGGGTTATAAGAGTGGGTTGTGTTTCTTGAAGGCCTCACAGTTTAAACACCTGCTTTTCACAGGCGGATGCACATATAAAACAATGTTCATTTAAAACCTATTTGTGCTGCATTGCACGTAACTGTGTTTGCTGTTCATGATCATGACAAAGTCATGTGATAAGTACTGACCAATGAATAAAAAAGCAAGTGCTTATCCCAGGTGCTCAAATGCACCTTTTCCTGTGTTGCCATGCTTGAAGGGAGCTGTCGGGAGCAGAATCCAGTTGCTGTCAATGCTGAGGTCAATGAGCTTATATGTGAAAATTCAGAAGAAACGGATGTACTGATCTATACAGATGGGTCAGTTGTTCGAGGACAAAAAAAGTGCATGGGCATTTACTGTGTGCTCTGCAGGCAGAACAGTCCAGGCGGCCAGTGGTGCTTTCTGTATGACTACTAGCAGCATGACAATGGAGGTGATTGCGGTAACACAAGCTTTTATGAGGCTAGCATAGCAGGGCTATTCTCAAATGTGTGTGCTGAGTGATTCCATGAGCTAGATCCACCTAGTCGAGGCAGGCTTTGTACGCAGACAGTGGGTAGAGAGTCACTGCAAAATGCTATTGTGCGTGGTTACCTTCATCTTTGTTCTAGAATTCCAATACTAATGGTACCAGTTGTAATCTGGTTTTATGTCAGTCTTGTCTTTCCTCTGAGTGAAGTGAGCTGCCCGACTCTCTAGTCCGCATGTTCACTCCCCACTATGCCGGCATGGCCTGAAGAAAAGATCCAAGGTATGCTCACCACTAAGACCTTCCCAGTGAAGCTTGCCACTCTGCTCGAAGCATCCCTGTCTGCACTTTTCTCAGCATGCTCTCAGAATTTGTTGCAATTACTATATGTCTATGCATCTTGTTCTCTAGCCACTGAAAAGCTGCTGTGACAGCCTCCACCTCCATTTTAATGCTAGATGTGATATCGTATACTAGGCTGTCCTGCCCTAAAGATTTTCCATTGCATTTTTCTTTGAACTCCCAGGCACTTCTCCTCTTCCCTCTCAACACAGAACCATCTGTATATATGAGATCATCTAGGTGAGAATTGTCATGAACTGTTGCACTTCCACCACTGTAGCACCCACTGGCCACTCTCTGCACTCCCCACCCAATGTGATTATGATCATACTTAGGTCAGACTTTTCCTCTGGTACTCCGACCCACTCCTCTCCTCGCCCAATGTTCTCAAGTTTGCATACTTGACTTATTGTGTCTTCTGCTTGTGCCATCCACGATTTTCAGCCTCCGACCCTTAACTGCAGCCAGAGCGTCATATAGAGGGTGCTCTTTGTCTGCAGCTACTCTGAGGTATGACCCAGCCTGCAGCACCTTTAGCCTATCTGCAATAGTCGGCAATGCAAGGATGTATCACATGCACACAATCAGGTGTCTCTTGTACATCCCAGGATCCCCCTCATAGCTTCATTCTGTATGTGCTCCAGTTTCTCTAGCTGACTCTTCGAGACAGCGAGTAACCCAAGTCAGATTAAAAAGACACACACAACAAAAAAAACTACAGCTAGGCTGCGATAGCTACTTCTTATCCCAAGACTGTAAAACACTGAAATCAACTTTATTTATCGAACCTATGCTAATTAGCTGTCTTTTCTTCTGATGTATAAGGCCATCAACAAATACACAAACTGGCAAGAGGTAAGAGGTAACAGAACTGTTAGAATTATTCAGAATTTAGTGGGGAAAAAAAACATTCTGTATGTTGACTGTTTTTAAGTCTGTGCGAATCAGGTGAAAAAAATCAGTAATGATACTCACCGACAGGTAATGTCTCGACATCCATAACAAAATGATGGGTAATCGATTCTCGGAGGTGGTGGCTTGTAGGTGTAAGGGCTATTGTACATCGAAGCTGACCTGGACATCGTCATCTTGGTGGCTTTTTATCTCTAGCCGGTACTCAGATAAATAATGTGCTGTGTGAAAATCTAAAAACATACAAGCCAATTAATGATTAAAGGTAATCTAATATTTACGAAAATCTACATAAAAATGTTATGTTCTAAAATTACAGATAGGCTGCGATATCTGCAGCTTTTGGCCAAAGTGTGAAACACTGAAACCCACTCGATTTCATTGAATTAGTTGTCTTTTATGATCTGCTTAAGTAGTAGAAGTCAGCATCTGTGGTCTAGGTATTGCGAACGCGCTTCATAATGCCGAGGTGCCGGGTTCGATCCAAGCTGTGGACAATTTGAGTCGCGTTGGTTTTGACGGTTGTATTGAGAGCTGGCAATACAGAAAGCAATGGCAAACTACTGAATGTAACATTTTCCTAGAAAGACCACAAGAGCCAAAAAAATGCTTGGGTTGGTTCTGTAACATCCTGTAAAGGATACATAACTAACTTTTTAGTGGCAGAGCTGGCAGTAGTCTACGTTGTCTCCATCCCCTTAAAAGTGGGTCCTAGATCTGACTCTCTCTCACAAGTGGGAAATAATTCTAATTCAAGTATCCATTAAACAAATTTAATAAATGTAGAATACAAACAAATTTATTTGACTCTCCTTCAAACTTCGTCCCCATATTATGGCGACCAAACAAATACCCTAACAAAGCCTCAGTCATGTGTAAAATGCGGGCTTCCTTCGATGAACACATCGCTGCAAATCTAGGATTACTGTCTGTTGACACTTTAGAGAAACACAACAATACACACGATAATAGCGACATGGCGGGGAGACCATGCACTCTTATGCAGGTAAGTGATAGTGTTCTTCCGATTAAACTCACCGCCGAGCATAACCCCCGCGCAGCTACGTTACTGGGATTCGCGAGCAGCAGCTACCTTATCTCCTGCAACTTTCTCCAATTTATTTGCTCATGCATCCCAGCCATCTAGTTTAGCCCCCAATCCGCAGAGCGGCGCTGGGAATACTGTTGGCAGTGTGGCATAGTCGCAGAAACAGGTCCACAATTAACAAATCGCTGAGACCCTGTTAGAGCATTTGTATAACTTTATAATATTGGCCTGTTGTTCGGAGACGATACTAGTTTTGCTGCGATTTGTTCCTAGGCAGGCACTAAACATTTTACACATGACTGAGTCACTGTTAGGTATTTTTTGGCCACCATAGTATGAGGATGAAGTTCGAAGGAGAGAATGTAATAAATAATACTGATAATAGCAATAAAATATGCTGCATTTTAAATACGGAAATCGTAATTACCTTTGACACATCACTCACACAGCAACACAACACAATAACATAACACAGGTTCTGGAGCAGGACTGCAGTCCAGAAGTGGACGAACAACCAGAACTTTCTGCCAGAGTTTACAGCTGGTGAACGCGAAGAAGAAGAAGGCATAACACAGGTAATTGTGATTGATCTGTAATTTAAAGGTATGATGCCCATATAGCATGACGTTCACAGAGAAGACCTCTGTACTGTAACTGTCTCTGGCTCTCCTCCGAACTTCTACCCCCGCCTTATGGTCCAATAAAAAATGCAGACTTTCTGCCAAGAAACAAATCACGCCAAAACTAGAGTACTTGACAATTTCAAGAGAGACAACATTGCAGACGATAGTAGCAGACGATAAAAGAGACGGGTGACAATGTTGAGCGTTTCTGCAGACGATACTAGCAGACGATAAAAGCGACCGTTAACAATTTCGAGACATTACAAACGATGAAAGCGATATGGCGGGTAGACCACGCGCTCCCACGCAGATTAGCAATACCGTTCTTCTGATTGAGGATTTAGCAGCGGTAGATGTCAGAATTGTCTGCATGCGCAAAACGCGATTAAATTCACCACCGAGAGTATCCCCCGCGTGGCGCGGATGGGGGGCTAAACTAGGTGTCTGGGACTCACGAGCAAAGTAATTGGAGGAAGTTGCAGGAGATGCGGTAGCTGCTGCTAGTGAGTCCCAGCCATCTAGTTTAGCCCCTATCCACGCCGCGCATGGCGGCGCGGGGTATACGGTCGGCGGTGAGGCATAGTCACAGAAACAGGTCCGCAAGTAACATATCGCTGAGACCCTGTTAGAGCATTTGTTTTGTTTTTCTGAGCTGATCCTAGATTTGCCGCGATTTGTTCGTCGGCAGAAAGTCCAACAAGTCCCCATTTCACATATTTGTTTCTTGGCAGAAAGTCCGACAATGAAAAGTGTCAACGGTTGCTATTCTTGTCGTCTGCTAATATCCTCTGCAGTGTTGCGTCTCTTAGAATTGTCAGGTAATCAGAAACAATAAGAAACAGGTCCGCAAGTAACATATCGCGGAGACCCTGTTTGAGCGTTTGTTTCGTTATACGGAGCGGGCATATTTTTAATAGAACTGAGCCCCGAACGGATATTTCAGGTCACCATAATGCGGGGGTAGAAGTTCAGAGGAGAGCCCTGTCTCTCTTCGTTAGTTGGATTTCCTTTTCTCTGTGTGTGATCGTTTTAGGTTTATTTCTTGTGCTGACAGTTGATTAGAGATTACACTACAGTCAAAACTTTTGCTTTGAATCATATCATCTACATTTCTATCAACTATTATAATCTATGGTATGTTAGCTTCAGCCGTTCCCTTGCTTGTGTGTTCATTCATTACTGATTGTCTGATTTGAATTACTGATCAGCTACTGGATTAATTCATAAAAATTCTTTATTAGATTGCTGTGATTGCTGGCAGGTCGCACGCAAGGGCATGGGGTCGTACTATCCATTATTAGTCGTGTATCAGAGCAGGAAGGAGATCAAGAAAAGATATTATATTAGTGATTAAGAAAAATAAGGCATGAATATTACAAAAACATAAACATTACCTGCAAAGGGAATATGTGTAATTCCGTTTACTACAACGCCATGTTGAATGCGGAAGTCCTACCTGAACAGGTAGCTTGGAGAACTAGGTCAACAAGGGATGTAAGTCTAAAAACTAGAATGAGTGACAGTCAATATGTTCCGTGAAATCCAGACTGGTTTCATGCAAGACCAGGTATTCAGGAGACGGCCATGATACATCACACCATCATCCATGTCTTGTCCGAGCTTCAGGTGACTTCGTTATCGCCCAGGACCCTTACTGTTGAACGAAGCTTACCAGGATTTGTACATGTAGGATTCTCATGCTTGAGGTAGTAATCCTGTGGATTAAAATCCTAGAGAGGACACACTACAATGCAGTTCAAGCTTCAGACCCGAATGGATTATATCACGAAACATATGGAGAATGATTGGCCTATCCTTAATCTTTATTTGGCGTGAATGTGTTTGCGGCGAAGAGCGTGCTGCATATCTGACGGACACTGCGGTTGCCATGACCCGCTCTGTCTTGGACATAAGCGAAATCAACAATGCATTGCGTAGCACTTATCAAGAAGACGAATACTGTAGAAAGGCATGACTCTGTATTCACATCCAGGCTGTGGACACAAGAGTGCAACCTGAAGCTGTAGGGAACAAAAGGACAAGACGTTTAATTAATCAACACAGTACAGATGCTGTAGGGCTATTGAGGAAAAGATTGTATACATATAAATCTGCCCCAAGTGTGTGATGATAATTCTTTTGCTTCTTCTTTCCTCTTCTGCCATTTATCCTCCGATGAACCATATGCCCCGAACAAACTCATGCCAAGTCCTATGCTATTGCTTGCAGATCATCAAATACCCACCCTAAGTTTTTGAACTCCACTCTCTAGCTCTCGTCTACTTGAGTTTCCAACTTTCACGTCATGCTCTTCTTCTTCTTTACCTCCTCTTTTACCTATAGACACATCGTGGTTCTGTACAGTTTCTCTGATGTTATTTCCCTGTATGTTCTTGGTCTACCTCTTGCTCTAAGTCCCTCTCCTCTTTTGGTATATTTCTTGTATGGTATAGCATCAGAATGCATTCTCTCCAAGTGAGCAAACTATTTTATATAATGTCTTTGTATGTAACTGGTTCTGTGCCGACTTTATATGACCTCATTCCTGACTTTATCTCTTCTGGTCACCCTACAGTCTTTCTCAGACACCTCATTTCTATGGTTACTAATTCTCTTTTATGGTTTGATGTGAGTGACCACGTCTGGCACTGGTAGCATGATGGGGGGGGGGGGGTGAATATGCTTTGTATGAGATGTCTCTGTGTGCTGATTGGGATTGCTTTATGCTGTAAGAGGGGAGCTAGCTGTCCCAATACTTGGCCAGCTTTACTGCATCGGATGTCAGTTTCTTTGTCCAATTGACCATCTTCAGTGAATATTGTTCCAAGATATTTAAACTCAGATGCCTGTTTTATCACGCCCATCTGGAGCTATTTAAAAAGTCGGCCATGGTTAGATATATGTATGCTCTAATGCTATATGTTAATCCTGTTTCTTTCTTCGTATCCCTATTGACATTACTCTGTCTTTTAGATGTTGATTCTCATTACTACAATATCACTTCCAGTCCTTTTTAGGACGAACTTTTTCGTTATTTGAAGCCCTACTCTGGCTTTGCCAGGGGCCGCAATATAGCCTGGCCATACATATAGTCTAAAGGCTTAACGCGGTTTCTGGGACCTCTCCACGGTGATCCTCACCCAAATCGTGGCACATTGTATCATCGGGTGTTTATCGCTTGTGTGGTGTCCTGGTGGGGTAGAAAGTCAGTCAGTTGATTCTCATAGCTGGTTACACATCCTTCATTCTTGAATGTGAGATGCTGTTGAAAATTTATGGCTTATCTGTCATCAAGGCCTAGCCATCAGCAAAGAGCAATTCGTTGAGGTTACTATTTTTTCGTTCCTGGGCCTGTCATCCTTGATTGTACTGTCAATGTAGTAGATAAACAGGAGTGGTGATAAGACACATCCATGTATTACTCCAAATGTGACCTTGAATGGTTCAGATGTTGCCTGATTTATTCTAACTACGATTTTACAATCTTTTTTTCAGCTTTTGCAAACTTCAATGAGGTGTTCATTTACTCCACGTCGAGCCATTACTTTCCATAATTTATATCTATCGACCCTGTCGAAAGCTTTCTCCTGGTCTACAAATGCTACCAATAAGTTCTAATCATATTCGATGTTCTGTTCTATTAAATGTTTAAGTGTGAAGATTGCATCTGTAAAGTTTCTATTTTTTCTGAAATCCATCTGTTCTTCTGTCATCTGTGGTTCTTTCACTGGTCGCACACTCGTTTCTATTATCTTAGCATACATTTTCCCAACATGACTTAAAAAAAGAGATGCCTCGATATTGATTGCATTCTCGCTTGCTTCCATTGTTCTTCCACAATGGTACAACTATTGCATGTTGCCAGTCAATGGGAGCAGTTTGTTGAACCCATGCCGCATTGAATATTCTATGGAGCCATCTAATGTTGCTTTCACCTGCTGCTTGGATTATCTCTGTTGGTAATCTATCAGTTCCTGGTGCTTTATATTTGAGTGACTGTCTAATGTTTTTAACTACTTCAGTAATTAGTATATCAGGCTCTAGCACTGTTGCTTTGTAATCTTTGGTTGTTCTTTCCTGGCAATCTACTAAAGGGTTGAAGAGCTCACTGAAATATTCTCTCCATCTTTCAGCTATTTATGGTTTTCTTGTTTTATCGTTAATTACTACTGTTGAGTTGTAGCTCTCTTCTCTTTTTCGCATAGTTTTAACTGCTTTAAAAATGTTCTGGCTGTTTTCTCACTTTATGTTAATAACTCTCCAAAACGTTCCTAGGATTCTTGTTTTGCTTTCTTGATCCTCTGGTTGGTGTCTCTTCGTTGCAGTCTATATCTTACACAATCATCATCATCTCTCTTCGATTGTATCCAGTTTATTTAAGTCTTATTTTCACCTAACTGCTTCTTTTACTTCTTCACACCACCAAGGTCAGTTATAATTCCGTCTGCTTCCTCTCTTTCTTTTCCCACACAATTCTTCTGCAAACGAAGCAAGGTGATTTATATACAATCCATTCATCCTCAGTATTACCCAGCTCAGGCGATAGTTTGTTATACTTTATTTTTTCAGCTGTTTTTTTTTTTTTTACTTCTTCTTGTTTCAAACATCATGCTCTGTGGGTCATAAAATCACTCCACGGGTGCACAAGGAATTCAACGGAAATTTGACTAAAAAGTTAAAAAAAAATTGGTAAGCAAAAAAAAAAAAAAACGTGCACAAAACAACACAAATAATGTAAAGGTTTTGGCCAGGTAGCCTTTGTCAAACACAACGTTACGTTATTTGTGCTGTTTTGTGTAAGTTGTTCTGCTTCCCCGTTTAGATAAGCTTTTTAGTCAAATTTCCCTGGAATTCCTTGTATTAGCTTGATTGCAGTCATCCCCATATTTTCACTATGTATGCACAGTTGGTTTTCAAGCCAGCGAAAGGCTGCAAGACTGATAACGCCTCCATTATAAAACAAGATGTTGATTTACATTTTTTAAAAATCTACACAATAATTAATATATTCAGTTAGAGTTCATGAGAATTGAATACAAATGATTTCCTCTACGCCAATCACCAAGGCACTTGGTGATGATGACGTTTTTTTTTCTCTCCGGGACATATTTTTAATATTCTCAGAGGATGGCTCGAAACCTCTTCTGGAAAGAAAACTAATTAAGTTTGTTACAAGAAAATGGCTGACAAGTCAACGAACACTCTTCCATTGTCTAGAGTAAAAACAATCATGAAAAGTTCTCCAGAGGTGTCCAGTATAAGCCAAGAAGCTCTCCACTTAACGGGAAAAGCAACGGTAACGGAATATTTATTCTTAGTATGTTATATCTTCGATTACATTACAGAAATAAAACAAGGAATCAATACACGACCTTCGTACTAAAAAAATACTTTGAGAACTTATTAAAATTAAAAGTAAAACTAACTGAAATATTAATTTTAATACTATAGATAAGAAATTGTTGAGAATCCTCAGTCCTGGCAGGGTCCGCATGAGAATAGATCAAATTTGAAAACGATCATTTAATAATAATATTATGATTATGTGTGTGGTGGTGTACCGATGTCGGACTGCCGGTGATGTCCGGCGTCTTACGGTACGGGTATTTCAGGAATTGTAAACCTTTTACTTTTAATTTTAGCACGGGAAGTTTTTTCAGAAACTCGGAGCATTTTTTCAGTAAATTTGGTTATTATCTAATTTTTTTTTCAAGACACATTTCTGTTATTCTGACCCCTTTGAAATAATATAATTATTTGAAGGATATAGATTGAAGTTCATTTATTTTCACAATATCGTTAAAATAAATTGATGTGTATGATGCAAATCATCTCATTTTGGCTATCCTCCGAACAACGATCCTAAATTATCGGGGCAGAAAATATACCCTAACAGGGCCTCAGTCACGTGTCAATTGTCCACTTCCATCGTCTTGAAATGAGAGCTTCCGGCCACTTTCACCGCCGCCGATTTGCGAACTTTCTGCAACTTCCGTCACCGCCGAGAGTGACCCCCACGCCGCTCATGCAGCATGGATTGGGGCTAAACTAGATGGCTAGGACTCATGAGCAGCAGGTACTGCATCTCCTGCAGCTTCCTTTATTTTATTTGCTTGTGAGTCCTAGCCATCTAGTTAAGCCCCAATCCATGCAGCGTGGGGGTCACTCTCGGCGGTGGTGGAGGTTGCAAAAGTTTGCAATTCGGCGGTGGCGTTGTAGTCCCCAGAAGTGTGCAAATGACACGTGACTGAGGCCCTATTAGGGTATATTTTCCTCCCCGATAATTTAGGACCGTTATTCGGAGGATAGCCCTCATTTTTATATCTAAAAATAGAAAATTAGAATATGAATTTTCAACTTCAAACACATAACTAAAAACAAAAATATATTTCATTTGAAATCTTTTTATTGATCTGTGGCTTTTTTACATTTATGTTTTTCAAAACAATAGTGGTGAATTCAATAGTCAAAAACAGGTATATATATGAAACAGCAATAACATCTTTAGGTGACATGTGTTTTGGACCAGTCAGCTCAAAAAATTGATGTGCAGGAGTGTCAACATCTTCGGGTGGATATAGCCTGAGCCATGGTTGGGCTGTGGACTGATCAGCGTCCCCATCTGATTCCCCAGTATCACTAATATTAGATCCTGCATAAGTATCAGTAGATTTAGTGTCATTACTTGATTCGATTGTTTCATCAACATCAAGTTCAGGGGCAGAAACATACGAGTCAGACTTTTAGCGGTTCAGGTCACTATCTAAAAAAATTCAACAATTTTCACTTCGACAACAAACACTAGAAAGTCGCCATATGTAAAGCTAATACAGCAGTGAATATAAAATAATAACTTTTAGTGTTTCAAAATAGGAAATTTCTAATGGTGTCGAGGTGAAACACAATCAGGCCGATGATCGGCCGTTCGATTTTTTGGCCAGACTGCCGACGGCCAATAATCGGCCTGTCCATGCTAAGAGGGTTAATTGTGGTTGTTGTGTTGCTATTGAGCTATTCTATTTGTCCAGAATTGTTCTCTTCACTCTTACTTACCCTACCATATTTCCCCCCAAGTATAACAATAAGTATAAGAGGCAGTTATTTTCCAAAAATTTTAATAATATAGGGTCTAAAATCTGTGGGTATTTTACAATTGTTTGTTAGAAAATATTCCATACAGGGCCTCATTTAGAAGTAGCAATTAATAAGCGATGTAGAAAAAAATTAATAATTCCTTCTCACTGCAATAATAATTTGTGTGCTTCTTGTCTTCATGCTCATTGTTTCGCACTTGTTACATAAGATTATAGTTTACCCATACATGTCTTACAACAAATTTTTGTACACTGCTGTAAATTTGATCCTCCAACTGAGAAAACAAATTGAGACCGGCTATGGGAACAAGAAACCCTATACTATATCCAATACATTCATGCTAGACATTTAAACAAAAGTATGTCTTCAGTGGAAATAAGTAAATGATACACAACAACGAGGCAAGAAGAATTACTGATGAAAAAGAAGTTACTGATTTCAAAGGAGGGCACAACTGATGCGTTAGGTTCCTGAAACGAAAAATGCCTGCAAGCTATCAGCAAAAGATCTTTGAATTTCAAGGTTTTGTCATTCAGTATCAGAAGACACATCCGTTTGATGTACCCACTAACAGCTGTTGATAACTAAGGGAGATTGACTAACTGAAGACAACTGAGCATGAAAGGAGTCATTATACAGTTGTTTTAGCTTGTTGTGCCAATGGAACCATGCTGATTTTCATATGCAAAACAATGCCCAAAAAAAGGCATTCCTCAAGGAGTGATTGACCATGTTCATGACAAAGATTATGTGGATCATGATGGGAGAAAATCTGGTTTTAGAAAGTCTAGAGCAGAAGACTAGGTGGACTCTTATACAAACCTACCCTTTGGTGCTTGATCAGTTCAGCATTGACCTAACAGAAAACACAAAGAAGATTGCTGCAGAAAAGAGAACAAAACTTGCCGTCATATCTGGAGGCTTGACATGACAGCTTCAATCAATTGATGTCAACATTAACAAACCCTTCACAGTTGCCATAAAAGATGAATGGAACCAGTGGATGAAGTCTTCTGGGGACAATTAGTCTCCAGCAGGTAATGTGAAGAAACCAACTGTAGGAGAAGTTTGAACCCGAGTCAGAAGACCCTGGGATAATGTGAATTAATCGAGTAACAGAAAGTGTATTGATTGGCACTCATAGAAAGAAGTAGAAAGATAGAAGAACACACTAGACAACATAAAAATCGAAAGCTATAGTTACCGTGCCGGGAATTGAACCTGTCACCTCCAGACGGCGTCTGCGCATGTGAGGATTGAGATCACTTTCAAGTCATTCAAGAAGTGTGACATTTCAGTGGGACTGAGGATGAGGCAATGTATGAAGACACAGATTCATCATCAGACGCCGATGAGAACAAGTTAGAAAACTATCATATGGATGAGAGTTTTGACGATGAGTTTTCTGTATTCTGTGATCAATACTGAGTGCATTCAACAAGCTTATGTAATCATATCATTGTTTTCAAAATTTCCATTCCCAAACTCAAAGTACATCTTATACATGGAATCTTTTTATAGTCAGGGAAATACGATATGTAATGGCTAGGAAGTCCCAAGAGATCAGAAGGGGTTCCCCGGTGGCATGTGTCAGCTAAGAAAGAATCAAGAGGAAAAGCGTGGCATGAGGGGGATTGTGAGACCAGGTGAATAAGCAAATGATTGTTGAGAATCTCCTGAGGAGAAAGGGGATAGGAGAATGATAGGCATTCTGTATGAGACAGCAAGAGGAAGATGATGGTTAGACTAAGCGATCGTCGAAGTGAATTTGAACAGTCGACAATGGGAGCAAATATCTGGCGTATGCAGACGATAGAGCCCTATTATTGATTATGAAGTTGAGAAGAAACGTTCGCTGTGTGTCAGTAACCAGAGGCAGGAGAGAATGGCAGGTACAAGTTTAAACAAGCTAACAGAGATTGACAGATTTGTTAGCACCTGAGTCGATTTCTATTTGAGAATACTTTCTAGACAATCTACACTGTCACGACTGATGAATCAGCAATAAACATTTGTGTGCATAAGCTGGTCTTCCTCTTGGTGTGTCGTTGATACTAACTCAACTGGTGTATTGCTACAGTTAGACAGAGGCGAGTCATTGCATGAGACTTATCTATTTGTCTGTCATATTTGTCAAGTATGTCAGCCTCTATGGACTTTAGTCAAACTGAGAAGATGATTGACTTTGACAAATAATTGTCATTTGAGCTGCTATAGCACTTACTTACTGATTATAATTGTGAGTAAATATGTCATAAACACACATGTTTCAGGAGCTGTTTATTCAAGCACTGGCCAAATTCTCCTACCAACAGAGCAGTGATAAGTCCAGCCTGAAGTACAGGGACCTGGCAGAGATTGTTAACTCTGAGGACACACTGCAGTTTTTACATGGTAGGAAGAAGTCTGACAGTTTTTTTAATTCTTTCTAGGTATCAGTTTAACCCATTGATTCCCACGTATTTATTATAGGTACAGTGTTAATGTTTTGATCAAGAGACGTTTAAATAACACTTGGGGACAAAAGTGTTAAATGTAACACTTAAATACTTTACTTAGTATGCTTTAAAAAATTTTTACGCAGTTGGATAAGTTTTTAAAGAAAAAAATAACGGCCATCCAACGGTATCTCATTTGAGCCTATACATCAGTTGAGAATGAAGATATTATTATTTAAATGTCATGTAATGCACTGAGTTTGAAAATAGAACATTTTAATAGCACTGTACATAAATAGACAATAAAACTAAAATGTCTTCTTCTTTCTTTGTTAAAAAACCAAACCATATTTAACCTTGCTGATAGCACCATTACCTAATAGTGAGTTTAAAACTAATAAGTGTTCACTTTGTAGATGGAATCACGGAATCTGGCCGACGCTCAACACGGTTACTGGTAGCATCAGAATTGGAACTCCTCGCTTCCTGCTGAAGATTGGGACTGAACACTTATGGGAGTGTCCCAAGTGCTGTGATATTGATTCTTAATCCAACATTCAACATTTTTATAAATGGAACCTGCAGTAATGAAGTGACTTGCCTGCCATCATCATTGTCGTCATGTTGTGCAATTATATTTCACATATGGTTCACAGACTGTTTCTTCATTCCCGTCTGTCCTGTGCAATCCTTTTCAAAATCATGGATGAAATTCGGTCCAGCACCCTGACTTTCCCATGAACGTTCAATGTAGTTTTTTGTTTTTTTTTAGATGACCTCACTTCCTCACTCCTTTTATTTCCTATTGCAGTGCCTGCTTGGTGATTCTCTGCTAATTTCTGCCCAGGATGTATCCAGTATAGTACCATCTTCTTTGTCTTATAGCTGTTGTTACCTGTGTTTGCCCAGATATTTCTCTTATGTCTTCATCCCTCTTAAATTATAGAATTCAGTTCACTTCGCTTGCCTGTCAGTTCAGTGGTCATTGAGTTGAATTCCCATCAAAACAGATTTAGAAAAAAAAAATTGCTTCTCATTTCTGTAAGGATTCAGTGTAAAACTTGATGCCCGAAAGTATTCTGGGAGGATTCAGTGTAAAACTTGATGCCCGAAAGTATTCTGGGAGGATTCAGTGTAAAACTTGATGCCCGAAAGTATTCTGGGAGGATTCAGTGTAAAACTTGGTGCCCGAAAGTATTCTGGGAGGATTCAGTGTAAAACTTGGTGCCCGAAAGTATTCTGGGAGGATTCAGTGTAAAACTTGGTGCCCGAAAGTATTCTGGGAGGATTGAGTCTAAAACTTGATGCCCGAAAGTATTCTGGGAGGATTCAGTGTAAAACTTGATGCCCGAAAGTATTCTGGGAGGATTCAGTGTAAAACTTGGTGCCCGAAAGTATTCTGGGAGGATTCAGTGTAAAACTTGGTGCCCGAAAGTATTCTGGGAGGATTCAGTGTAAAACTTGGTGCCCGAAAGTATTCTGGGAGGATTGAGTCTAAAACTTGATGCCCGAAAGTATTCTGGGAGGATTCAGTGTAAAACTTGGTGCCCGAAAGTATTCTGGGAGGATTGAGTCTAAAACTTGATGCCCGAAAGTATTCTGGGAGGATTCAGTGTAAAACTTGGTGCCCGAAAGTATTATGGGAGGATTGAGTCTAAAACTTGATGCCCGAAAGTATTCTGGGAGGATTCAGTGTAAAACTTGGTGCCCGAAAGTATTCTGGGAGGATTGAGTCTAAAACTTGATGCCCGAAAGTATTCTGGGAGGAAAGACGGTTTGATATTGATTGACCACATCACCATGTGTGTTAAGGGGCTCCATTCTGGAGAACAAAGAGTATACCCCCCCCCCCCCCCCCCCCCCCCACAAGTTGTAGAAGAAATAATTGTGGGTGTTTCTTTCAAAGTTGGAGTGAGAGAGAAGAAACCAACAGTCTACACACAATAAGGCCAAATCTATAAAACGAATGTACGCGCAAAACTCAAGTTCTGGATCAAGACTTAAGTCCGGAAGTGGGCGAACAACCAGAACTTTCTGCCAAAGTTTACAGCTGGCGGTGCTACGTTAAGAAGATGAAGATGTTGACCACATCACCCCTCAAATGCTCTATTCGACTATACAAATGTGGAGCCAGTAGTTCACTCCCATGAGACCTCAAGACGTGAAAGTAGTCCTGTCATTTTGTTAATGTTGAAAGTCGTTACAGCGGGTCACACCTTACTTATCATCTCCCATGAACACAGAAGCCTGTCATTTCTTTGTTTCCTTCCCCAGATATTGTTCCACGGAAAATTAAAGCCAAAGAGTATCTGAAGATTTTGGAGGAATCTGAGGATGCAGAATGAACTGTTTCATGATACTCGCACTTGATGTATGATGTGAACTTACTGTGTAATTTTGTTTTAGCACGAATAGAGTGGATATTTGTTTGGCATAAATGAACTGGATATTATTTGTTATGGTATGATCTGACTATACATTTTTTTTTAAATGAATAGACTGGATATTGATTATAAATGAATATGGTGGATATTATTTGTTATTGCATAAGATTCCCTCTTTTACTTTCTTACTAGCGTTCCCTGGAGGGACAGACAAATGAGGCAGTTCTTCAAAACACTATACATTAACGGAGAAACGATGTCGAGAGTTAAGATTATTTGTTGGCATGTTTTGAGGAGAAATGAATACAGATGACTTTTAAAATCTTCACTGAGATTCAGACCTTTGCCCATTAGGTTGATGGGTTTTGCACATCAGTGTTTGTGGATTCAGCTCAAAGTCTCAGCAGATTTTTTTTTTCAATGATCTGGGCTTCTGAGTTAACCCAGCCTTAACTGGGTACCAGAATATGGCCTAAGGAGAGAAAATGGATGATGTAATATTTTCCACATTATCCACTGTCAGTTGGTCTCTAAAGTTTCCATGCGGGTTCAGAATTCCGTGTTTGTGGGGGGGGGGGGGGATAGATCCTTAGCCCCTTAATAAGCATGTTGTGAAAGTTGACTAATTGTGTTTCTTTGAAGTCAGAGAGAGGTTTGGAACCAACAGTCTGCATACATATAAGCAGATCATTCAAAAGATTATGCACAGAGAGGTCAACTTCTGAAACAAGGCTACGGTGCAGATTTGGTCACATGACCAGAACCTTTCACCGGAGTTTACAGCTAGTAAATGCTAAGAAGACAAATTCTAAAAAAATACTAAGCTCGCATCGTATACTTTATGATTAGGGAGTGTGGTTGCTAGACTATTGCCTATCAATCTGATGATCTTGGGTTTGAATCCACATCGGTGTTAGGTGTAGGTAGTTAGGTGCTTTGTTGGGGGAGGGGGGGGGGGGGGGGGTCATGTTCAACCAGCATCCCAGAAGGGGAAGCTTTAGGTTATAATTGTGACTAGGTTTTGTGCACCATATAAAATTGCTTAGCATTGCATGCCACCATGAGCCCCGAAAAGGACTCCTGCAGGATTGATTCAGTCAAAGGAGACAGACCCAAATACTGTCCCAACTGGCAACAAAGTCGTCTACCAGTAAGCAAATGGGCAACCCGGTCATTGATGCCACATTGATGTTTATCTAGGGTTTCCTGGTTAACATAGCCTGAACTGTTTACTAGGATGTGTCCTGTGAAGCAAAGGTGGCCTTTGGTATGTTACCTACGTCACCCATCGAGTAATTCTTAGGTCAGACACCCAATGTGCCATTTCTGTGTGAATGGTCCTGTTATATTATGATCAGGTAGATGTTAAATTGAAAATTTAAGTCACAAATGTTGTAATCTGGTATTATCGGTTTTATCATAACATAACTTTTGTGTGTATGGGATCTAAAAGTTTATAAATGGAATAATTGATTCTTGTATATGAATAAATCGTTTGTGTTAGCCTTGTAAATACTGTATTATAAATACATATTTTATGTTCATGTTTTCATGGAGACATTAATTTTTAGATACATTCATTATCATCATCATCAAAAGTCATGCTGACTTGTCCAGGTGACATTCTTCACCATTATTGCTATTTCCAGCATTATGTATCACTTCATATGCTGACAACCTTCTCATGATGTGACTGTCAATGATCTGCTTTCTGCACAAAGAGCCTAAGTAATTTTGGGGACAGAAAATCCACTACCATGTGTGTGCATCCATGCAAGCACGCACACACACCAACACACAGAGATCTTCCTTTGTTGGTCCTTAATTTGGGTGGTGCCCCTTCTAACAAGCTTATGTCATAGGAAACAACTAATTGAGTGTGTTTCCTTTAAAGATGGAGTGCATCTACCAGAGAGGTGATAAACCAACAGTCTGTTTACAGATGTGCCAGATCTGTAAAACAGATGTGCCTGCAAAACTAAAGTCTGGAACAGAAGTAAACAAACAACTAGAACTTTCCTCTGGAGTTTACAGCCAGTGAATGTGAAAAAGATGAGAAGACTTCAGTTCTGTTTTGAGATGTAGAGGTACATCACAGCCTAGAGCACCGGGACAGAGTCTGGTAATGGCGAAGACCAACAATCAGCACTCTACATGGTCATTGTAGAAACCAGTTGCCTACAGGGGATCTAGCCAATGTAAATAGGATTGTCATTTCCTCCAAAGTCAAGAACTCTTCTGCCTGAGAAGCCAGGAAACACCAGTGTACAAACAGTTAGTCAGATCTGTGAAACGGATGTGCATCTGAGTCCTGGAGCAAGACCCAAACACAAGCGACCACACAGGTCTTTCCGCTGGTTTGCAGCTGATGATAACAGAAGTACTCTGTCTCATGTGCACTGAAAATGATTTGCTAGCTACAATAGTTCTCAGCTTCTGAAGTAAGTCTCGATTTACCTATCCTGTTCATAATCTGTCACACCATCTGCTGTTATGATTTGACGGTGAAACGTGGGTGACCTATTTGTATCAGGCGAAATGGCTAAGCAGCTTTTCCATGTGACACCTAAGAAGAATTCTTGGCACTAAGAGGAAGAGCAGGTAATGCAACAGTTTTTTTAATGCTCAGGTAGCTGGGTCACACATGGAGGATGGTAGAATCCCTACAAACATTATGCTTAAATTGGCGAGTGGTCGTGTACATTCTGAACTTATGCAGTAGTGTGTGTAAAATGCATGCTTTTGTAATTTACTGCTTAAATCAACAGTGAGCTTAAATTCTGGTGTGTGACTGTTAGCATTGGCATATCTAACAGTTGCCTTATGCATGTACTTTGCGTGAGCGTTTTCTTTTTTGTTCATCTGTGGAAAGTCCTGGTTATTCATCCATTTGGACTTTGGCTTTGCGCCAGGGCCTGAGTTTTGCTTGTGCAACTGTTTTACTTGCTTGCTTGTGTACAGTTGGTTGTTCCTTGTCACTCAGGCAGACGTACTTCAACTTCAAAGGAAGTCCCCAGTTAGTCGGCTCCTAAGACATGATTGTTGGAGAGGCAGTGGGTCTATTCTTATTTTCCCCAAAACCTTTGTAAACTTTTGACTGACTTTTTATCCCACCAAGACATCACACAAGGGATAAACACCCGATGACACAAAGTGCCACCATGTGGGTGAGGATCACCTTGGACAGGTCCCAGAAACCGCATTCGTATCGTATCGTATAAAATCAAACAAAAATTTCAAGCTTAGTCCTTTTTTAGCCGCCTGATGGCCTGCTTTTTCAAGGACGGTTCCTTTGCTATCTTATTTTATTTATATTCCTTGTGGTGATCACTTTCACCTGAGTTTGTTCATTTGTTGCCTAAGTTCTGGTTCTGAGGGGCCTGGTTCCTGTTTAATTGGCTATTCGCTAGCTTTTGCACTGTTCATCTGTGTTAGCACCAAGTCAGTTTGAAGTCACACCGCTACGAAACAAACAGTTCCGCATACTGAGCGCCCTAAAACACGGCCCCCACAGGACGACTGTCACAATCTTGTTGTTGTGTGCAGCCGTTAGATAAGTAGAGGAGGTAACAAAGGTTGCAAAAAAATTAGAACGCCCGAAGGTGCAAAGATATTTTTATAGTTAGGTCAGAAGTTGGAGAGAGACAGATAGCTTGCTAGGTTGAGGAAGAGGTCCTTGGTGGGTTGAGTCCTGCACACTGCCTGCTCTGCCTGGGTAGATCTAAAAATAGACTGATTTACATTTTAGATATATGTGGGGAGGGACGGGTGAAGTTATCAGGGAAGCGTGGTAGCCTGGAATTCCACAAGTGCTGGTCCCCTTATTGTGCAATGCCCTTTTAGCTGGTTTGCCTCAGAGCGTCGGGTGGCCTTTGGTGGGTTTCTTCGGCTTTTAGCTGAAAATGAGTTTATTAATATTGAAACATATGTGGGAGGGGCGGGGAGTTTACAAAATGAAATGCATAACAGACTGAAATCCACGATTGCTGGTCCCCTTCTTGTGCTATGCCCTTTAGCTGGTTTGCCTCGGAGCGTCGGGTGAAACCGCATTCAGCCTTTAGGCCATATTTATAGTCAGACTATATATTGCGGCCCCTGGCAAGAGCCAGAGTAGGGCTTCAAATAACGAACAATTTCATCCTAGAAGGACGAGAAGTGTATGATACTTAGTGTAAGCTTTTGCTAAGTCAAAAATGTTTTTCAATAGTTTTCAAATGGGATCATAGCGGATATTTCATATGATTTCCACTTGCACAGGAACGGATCAGGTATGGGACATCTTGGTGAGAGCAGATGGTAATTGGTGCATGAGGTTGTAAATATCATGGCAGCCGCCTTTACTTCCGAGTGTCTTTCCTAGACCATTTTAGGCACGTTGACCTGGAGGCTTTGTGTCATTTTTTTGAAGAAGCCACCGTTGCTGCACGGAAAGTAATTGCCTCTCGCAAAGAAAATGTTTTGATGGATTATCTCCCCTGATAGCCTATAAATAAATGAATACAAATGTAATAGACGGGCTCCAAGAATATCAAGGGTAAAGAAGAGAACAAATGCATCATACTTCAGGAACTGAATAATGAAGAAGATTGGCTATTAAAAACCATAAAACATAGAAAATTTAAATATTTTGGTTACTTGAAACGTCACGAAAGTTTAGAGAGAACAATAATAGAGTTATGACTGGGAACAGAGGAAGAGGTCGGCCAAAGAGAAGATGGTTGCAAGATGTGGCAGATGGGTGTATAGGACGCGGTACATGTTGCCTGTGACCAAGAAGTTTTCCGGAGGGTTGTTATGGGAGCAAGGTTCTGCAAAGGGCATGCTACTTGCTGACTGTTGTCCTATACAGTATAAGATGCCGTTTTGTGTACCAAAGGCGCTTCCTAGAAGGAACGCAGGAAAATGGGTGTTATATTTTCAACAACACACTTAAGTTTAGCCCTCTTACAGCATAAGGCAAT